CTATAGACTAGACTATAGACTAGACTATAGACTATAGACTAGACTATAGACTAGACTATAGACTAGACTATAGACTAGACTATAGACTAGACTATAGACTAGACCATAGACTAGACTATAGACTAGACTATAGACTAGATTATGGACTAGATTATAGACTAGGCTATAGACTAGACTATAGACTAGACTATAGACTAGACTATAGACTAGACTATAGACTAGACTATATACTAGTCTATAGATTAGACTATAGACTAGACAATAGACTAGACTATAGACTAGACTATAGACTAGATTATGGACTAGATTATAGACTAGACTATAGACTAGACTATAGACTAGACTATAGACTAGACTATAGACTAGACTATAGACTAGACTATAGACTAGACTATAGACTAGACTATAGACTAGACTATAGACTAGACTATAGACTAGACTATAGACTAGACTATAGAATAGACTATAGATTAGACTGTTGACAAGACTATAGATTATGCTATAGATTAGAATATATTCTAGACTGTAAACTAGACTATAGACTAGCCAATAGACTAGTCACTAGACCAGACAAAAGACTACACTATGGACTAGGCAAGACTAGACAATAGACTAGACAGTAGACTAGACTAAAGACTAGACTATAGACTAGACAGTAGACTAGACTATAGAATGCTCTATAAACTAGACTATAGAGTAGACTATATATTAGACTATAGACTAGATTACAGACTATACCGTAGACTATAGACTGGACTATAGACTAGACTATAGATTAGACTGTTGACAATGCTATAGATTAGGCTATACATTCGAATATATTCTAGACTGTAAACTAGACTATAGACTAGACAATGGACTAGTCACTAGACAAGACTAAAGACTACACTATGTGCTAGGCTATAGACTAGACAATAGACTAGACTTGACTGTAGACTAGACTAAAGTTTAGACTGTAGACTAGTCTATAGACTAGACTATAGACTTCTCTATAAACTAGACTATAGAATAGACTATATGCTAGACTATAGACTAGATTACAGACTAGAATACTAGGCTATAGACTAGTCTATTAACTAGACTACCGCGGTATTTTTCGATATTAAAAAGTACTAAGTATTGAATTTTCCATGCCTGATGTTTTTTGTTTTTAAAATTAACAGAGAGAAAGAGAGAAAAACATCAACAACCACAACACCTAATATATTTATATTAATAAATATTTAAAAAGCAAAAAAAAAAATAAGTTATTTTATTTTTTTAACATTTTTCAAAAAAATTTACTTTATTTTTATTTATTTCATTTTAAGACAAGTACAAAAAAAGTTGGAAAAAGAAAACTTAAAATTATTTAAAAATGAAAATAAAATTAAGTAAATTATATGACATTAATTGTCATTAAAATTAAAAAAAGAAAATTTTATTAAAAAGAAAAAAATTTCAAATGAAAAGTTTAATTTTATTACAAATTACTTTTTTTATTTATTTTAAAATTAGTTTTTTTTAATTAAAACAAAAAACAAACATTTGATTTTCTTTTTTTTCATTAACTAAATAAACAATAATTCAACTTAGGCAATTTTTAACAGTGTAATAAGTTCTTCTTCAGTAAGTTAAAGGTTATTGAAATTAATCAATTAATTAATTTTAATAGTTTTACACAGGGTTGGAAGGTGTTTGTTTATAATTAAAGAAAAAAATAAACAATGTTTAAAAACAAAAAAACATCTCTTTTTTAGCAGTAAAAGTATGTTTTAAAAATTATAATTAATTTTAATTAATTAAGAGTAGTAGTAATTAAAATAGGTTATAAAGTAAGTTTAAAGAATAGTTTTAGGTATAGAGTTAAAAAAAAGAATTACATTTATTTAATTGACAATTCAAGGAGTGTGTAAATTCTAATAAACACATTGAAAGGAATATTATCTTAATTAAAAATTTTTACAATTATATGTAAAAAAAATCAAATATTATATTAAATATGAAATGAAATCATGAATTTCTTTTGTCATCTTTAAAAAGAAGTCATATTATTCTAATTTAAAACAAGTCTGAATTAAGAATTTTTAAAATCTGTGATGATGTGAAGACTTTGATTAGATATCAAAAGTTTGCAATTTATCTGATAAGAATTTTTGTTAAAAATCGTTTATGTTATCATTTCACAGTGAACTAAATGTAAATTTATAAAACTAAATGATAAATTTTATGTGTTAATAAAACTAAAGTTGAATGAATTGAGAGAAATAACTGAAATTAGTTTTACGTTATCAGTTTACAGTGAATTGACGAATGTTTTTTTGTATATCATTTACCAATATATTAGTTGTATTTGTGACAGCAAAACAATGTTTCTTTTATTATGATTCTTTAAAACTTAATTTAAGAAAACTTTTCGAATTGATTTAATCCTACAGTGAACTGAAAACTCGTATTATGTTATCATTTTACAGTGAATTTATTGTAGGTTATTACTAATAATAAATTTAGTATGAAATAGATTAAACTAAAGAATTTGAAAAGTATGTTAAAGGGAATTTTCTAAATCATTTTGAATTGCAGAGAACTGACAAAACGTTTGTATGTTATCATTTAACAGTGAATAAATTGTATTTTATTAATATAAAGATAGATTTAGTAATAAAACAGATTAAACTTATGAATTTGAAAAGTAAATTAAAGGGAATTTTCTAAATCATTTTATGTTGCAGAGAACTAACAAATCGTTTTATGTTATCATTTTGACCTGAATGAATTTTATGTTACATTGATAGATTTTGTAATGAAACAGATTAAACTTATGAATTTGAAAAGTAAATTAAAGGGGATTTTCTAAATAATTTTAAGTTGCAGGGAATCGTATTATGTTATCATTTAACAGTGAATGAATTGTATTTTATTATTTCAAAAATAGATTTAGTAATGAAACAGATTAAAGTTATGAATTTGAAAAGTAAACTAAAGGCAATTTTCTAAATAATTTTCAGTTGCAGAGAACTAACAAATCATTTTATGAGTTGAGAAATATAAAACTTATGAATTTGAAAAGTAAATAAAAGGGGATTTTTTAAATCAGTTTAAGCTGCTGAGAACTGACAAATTTGTGTTATAATTTTTGTGCTATCATTTAACAGTGAATGAATGGTATGTTATTAGTACAATGAAATATTTAGTAATCAAACAGATTTTAAGAGTAAATAAAAGGGAATTTTCTAAATCATTTTATGTTGCCGAGAGTCGTATTATGTTATCATTTAACAGTGATTGAATTGTATGTTATTAATACAATGATAGATTTAGTAATGAATTTGAAAAGTAAATTAAAGGAAATTTCCTAAATCATTTTAAGTTGCAGAGAACTTACAAATCGTTTTTATGTTATCATTTAACAGTGAATTGATTTATTAAAACAATGATACTAGTTTTAGTATTGAAATAAATTACTTATGATTTTTTTTAATATATTGAACAGAATTTTCGAAATAATTTTAAAAATTGATCAAATCTTTTAATGTTATCATTTTGCAGTGAATTAATTGTTACAATATTTTCAAAATAATTTTAAGATATCATTTTACAGAGAATCATTTTATAGTGAGTTGATTTGATCGTATAAATGTAAAAACTAAATGAAATTAAGAATTTTGTAATCCAAAATATAAAGATTTTACAATGGAAAGTGTCACCTATTAGATTACCAAATCTGACGCACTCATTTTACAGTGAATGAAATGTATTATGCCTAAAATAATATGTAAACATATAGAGTTATTGTTTTTTCTTTAATACTAATAAATTGAATTCCCAATTTGCAATTTTTTCTTAAAGAATTTCAATTATTTGGAAAAATGTTTTATTTCATGTAAGAAATATTATAAAATTAGATTTCATTTTTATAAGAAATCTCCAAAATTGAAAAACTTTCTAGGAATTCTGTTAAATAAAATATATTAACATGTTATAGTATTCATCTAATGAATGGTAAATAACATGCGCGTTTATGGAGTACGAAAAAAATTAAAAATTTCATTCACAAAATTATATTTTTAAAATTCTGAATTTAAAATGGAGCTTAAATCTGCCAAAAGGTGCACTATTTTAGATAACACTAGAACAAATTGCAGTGAACTTTAAATTCAAATGATTTAAAAAGTTTTTAAGCAATTTAGAAAAGTTTTTAAACTATTTAGAAATCAATGAACTCTTAATCACAGATATTTTAATGAAAAATAGTAAAAAATAGACTTTTAAAGGAAACAAAAAGATTCATGATTTCGTTATAAAAATAATCCTAAAAAAAAACTTTGAAATTTGTGTTTGCAAAGATGATTTATTACACAAATATTTCGAAATGATTACAAAATAACTTAAAAAATCTATAAAATCATAAAAAGTAAAATTTCTTGAATTTTTTGTTTGTTTTTCAAGATTACATTCCTTTCAATGTATGACCTTAAGAGAAGAGAGTAGAACTAGTACTAGTAAGTAGTAGTAGTAAATTGTTGTGTATGTATGTAGGCATGTATTTATTATGTTTATTGTTTTTATTATTATTAAGAGTTAAAATTTAAGATACAAATGAAAATTCATAACTAATTAATACACAAAATAATAAAAAAGAAACATAAAAATAATTAAAAAAAATGTTTTTTTGTTTTAAATCTAAAAAGTAGAGCTTAATAAAAACAAATTTTTTTTTAATAATCATAATAATAAAGTTAAAAATAGAGTAAAATAATGATAATAAACAACATAAAAGTATTTAAATAAAAAGTGTTTGTGTATTTTGTTTTAACATTTTGAAGAGGAGGGAGGAATTTGTTTGGTTTCTTGTACAAATTGTTGTTTTTTTTTTATTAATTTGTAAAACAAAATAAGGTTTTATTATTATTATTTTTTTTTTATTAAGAGAGAGACAAGTAGAGACAAGGTTGGTATTTGTTTTTTTTTTGTAATTTTTTTTTTTTTGTTTGTTTTTTGTTTTTAAAGTTTTTTCTCACCTGGTAAATTTTGTAGCGGTTTGGCGTGCTGAGTGCCACGAGCGCTGGGACGAATTTGTCCCACCCCACGGACCCCCCCGGTTGCTTGCAGAGCCCCCTGAACGGTGGCCCCCCGTTGAGCCGCCACCGCCGCCGCCACCACCGCCGCTTGAGGGGCCCCCTGACGATTGATGTTGCCACGGAGCCCAACGGTTCGGCCACGCGCTGTGATTCCACGCCCACGGCCAACCCCCTTCATAATTGTTAATAAAACAAAAATCAGCGTACACATACACCCAACACACATATTTATCCATAAATCGGTATGATAATCATTGTCATCAACGATTGACATTATCACACACATACATATATACAAAATTATTTTATATTAAAAATAATATTTGCAACATGTAGCAAGCATCAAGTTTGCAACATCATCATAATTATCATCACCATTTAAAGGTTAAAATTAACACCATTAAATTTAAGTAGAGGGCAGAAGTCATCATTATCATCATCATCATTACCATTATCATCATTAGGTTACCATTTCGTTATTGTTATATAAATCCATTGTTTAACATTAACATTGTTTTTGGGTCCGTAGTTGATTGAGTGAGTGGTGGTGGTGGTTGTTCCATTTAAATCCATTTTGACCATATTTAATATTCGTATTATTTAAAATATATATATGGATCGCCAAGTATTTTTCAGATAATTTTGTTGTTTTTGATTTTTAAATTTATAAAACGTTACAAATATTTTTTCAATTGTTTGGAGTTTTTGTTTTAAAATTTAGTTTAAATGAAAAAAAGTATTCAATATAAATAAATTTTGTAGGGGTAGGAGGGTTTAAAAAAAAATTCATATTTGGGTGAGAGAGAAAAGAGAGAGTTTTGTTGCAGTTTGGAAAATAATATTTTTATATTATTATTTTTCAAAAAAAAATATGGGGAGCACAGGAATTATATCAATCATAATTTTGTTGTTTTTTTGTTTTTGGTAAAGATTTTTTTCATATAGAGACCATAAATAGTAGAACAGATTTTCAGGGTTTTATTTGGTATTTGTAAATTAATTAAAAATATTGGTAATTGTTGGTAAATAATTATTCAATTAAATTTGATTGTTTGGGGAAAATAAATAAATTTGTTTACATGGTAGTTTGTTTTTGTTTTGACGAACATATATATAATTTTTTTAAGACGATTTTTCATTTTATATATTTGTTTATATATATATATATATATTTGAGTTTCGAGTATCAACATAAAAAAAAAGAAAAAAGAAAAAGAAAAAAACAAAATCGAAAATGAACGCGTTAGATTTTTTCAGTGTTTAAAATGAAATTATTATTTTTTTGTTTAAATTGTTAACGTTGTAAATAATAATTATAATAATAGAGAGAGAGAAAAAACAAAATAATAAGAAAACAAAATTATATAAAAAAATAACAATAAATTGGTTGCTTTTTTTTCTTCTCCTAATATAAATTTTGGAAAATCGATTATTTTTTTGAGAAATAAATAAAAAATTTATAAAAAAGCTTAAAATAAAACTTAAATGTTTAATTCATAAACTATTAAAGGCATTTTTTTATACATTATTATTATAATTTATAAATATAATTTAGAAAATTTTGCGATTGACACATTTTGTTTGAATTTGGTTAATATTTAAATAAAAATTTAAATATTTATAATTAAAAAAATAATAATATTTTCTCTAAACAGTAAAAGCATATACAAAGCATTAAGAAGAAGGAGAAGTAGTTATAGTATGAATAGCAAATAAATTGTTTTAATAACAAGAAATTTTTATAAAATTGTCCAATGTTTTGTTTTTTAAACTAAGTTTTAAAAAAGTAAATTATATCCTGTTTCTTGTTTGAATTTCAAAATTTTCGAAACAATTTTCTTTAGCTTAAAGTAAAATGTATAAAGTTTTATATAAAATATTCCAGTAAGTTCGCAATTTTCGAATTTTAATTTCGAATTTTTGATGAAAATTTAGATTCTAACAGAAATTGAGTTAAACAAATTTCAAAATTTCGTTGTTCGTACATGTTTTTAAAAATAAAACAGTATAAAATTTATAGAAAAATTATTTTTTGTTTATATTTTTAATAAAATAATTGAATTCTAATGTTTCTGATAAAGTTCGAAAATTTCGAATATAATTTCGGAATTCGAATTTCTTAGTAAAATAGAAAATTTTAATGAATATTGAATAAAAATTTTTCTATAATTTAAGATTTCGAAGTCTCGAAGTTTTTATTTTTAATAAAATAATCAAATTTTAAAGTTTTTGATTAAGTTCGAAAATTTTGAATATAATTTCGAAATTCAAATTTCGTAGTAAAATATTAAATTTCAATCAAAATTGAATCAAAACACTTACAAAATCAATATTTTTTTTTTTTGATTTAAAAATTTTAAGTTCATATTTTTAATAAAATAATCAAATTCTAAACTTTCGATTAAGTTCGAAAATTTCGAAATTCGAATTTTGTAGTAAAATATCTAATTTCAAATCAAAACAGTTACAAAATCAAAATTCTTCTTTAATTTAAGATTTCGAAGTTCATACTTTTAATAAAATAATCGAATTCTAAAGTTTTTGATTAAGTTCGAATATAATTTCGAAATTCGAATATTGTAGTAAAATATTAAATTTCCATGAATATTAAATAAAAAACTTACAAAATCAAAATTCTTCTTAAATTTATTAAAAATTTTCGAAGTTCGAAAATGTTATTTTAAGTTTAAACAAGTTTAAAATTTTAGTGAAAACTCACAAATGAATGAAATTTAAAATTTTCGATCAAACTTTGTACTTAAACAGTAGTTTTCAAAACACATTTCGATGTTCGAAAATTTTGAACATAATTTCGAAATTTGTAGTAAAATATTAGTTTTCATCAAATATAGAATCAAAAAGTTAAAAAAAAATAAAAATTCTTTTAATTTTATAAAGATTCCGAAATTCGATATTCGAAAATGCTATTAAATTTCGAAAATTTTGTAACAAATCAAATTCTGTTCATATTTTTAATGAAATAAATTAATTTTCGATAAGTACGAAAATTTCGAACATAATTTCGAACATTATTTCGAAATTGGATTTTTTTTATAAATTATTAGTTTTTTACCACTATTGAATAAAATAGATAAAGAAATCTTAATTCTATTCAATTTATTAAAGATTTCTATGTTCGAAAATGTTATTAAACATAAAAAATAAAAATTTTTGTAATAAAAGTTCGAATATTTCGAAATTGGAATTTTTTTTAGTAAAATATTAGTTTTCAATAAATATCGAAACAACAAGCTGAAAAATCTTAATGCTATTTCACATTTCGATGTTCGAAAATGCAAAAATTCTTTTTTTTTTAGAAATTATTCAATATTTCAATGTTTGAAAATGTTGTTATGCTCGAAAAAGTTCAAAATTTTAATGAAAATACAATTTTTTATCATATTATCAATAAAATAAATAAAATTTGAATAAGTTCGAAAATTTCGAACGTAATTTCGAAATTCTAACTTATTTTCGAAATTCTATTTTTTTTTAGCAAAATATTAGTTTACAATGAATATCCAAACAAAAAGGTGAAAAATCTTAATTTTATTTCACATTTTCATGTTCGAAAATGTTGTTAGGCACCAAAAATACTTTTTTTCTAGAAATTATTCAATATTTCAATGTTCGAAAATGATAAACAAAAAAAAAATTAAAATTTTTGTGAAAATACGGTTTTTGTTCACATTATTAATAAAATAAATAAAATTTTATGTTTTTGATTAAGTTCGAAAATTTCGAATGTAATTTCGAAATTCGAACATAATTTCGAAATTCGATTTTTTTTATTAAAATATTAGTTTTCAATGAATATGTAATCAAAAATGTGAAAAATCTTAATTTTTCCTACAAATTTCGATGTTCGAAAAACAGCTCAAAACAGTTTAAAATTTTAATGAAAATATAATTTGTTTATCATATTATTAACAAAACATATAAAATTTTAAATTTTTGATTAAGTTCGGAATTCGAACATAATTTCGAAATTCGAATTTTGTACTAAAATATTAGTTTTTAATGAATATTTAAAATCAATAAGGTGAAACCATTTAATTTTATCACATATTTCGATGTTTGAAAATATCGAAATTTTGAATCAAAAAGTTAAGATTCGTAATATTATTACAAGATTGTTTAAAAATTATAATATTTTTTACAAAATTCGAACAAGTTTAATAGCATTTTCAAACTTCGAAAAATCTTTATAAATTGTAATTGTAATGAATATCAATGAACACATAGTTTTAGGTTTTCTATTTCAAACTTATTGCTAAACTTTTCCTTTTCATACTATAACTTCTCCTCTCTTTTAAAGAATTATTAAAAAAATAATTCAATTTAAGCGTAAAGTAATTAAGAAAACTTAAAGCAAATTAAAACTATTTATTTACTATATGAATTGTATAAATAGCAAAGCATACCTTAAGGCATAATTGAAACTGTTAATGAAATATGAAAAACAACATTTGCTTAACAGTTTAAGAAACGCTTTTGGTAATATTTGCCAAAATCCAGGGATTAAAATAAAATATACAATTCTAAAGGATTGGACTAAGCAGAATTCGAATCTGTACTCAGAATTTCTCTATGACATGTGGTTTTCAAGAAATGTTAGATATTTTAGGAAATTGAAAAAAACTAATTTTAGACTCTATTTAGGACGTTTATAAATTTGTATCGTGTAATGTTATATCATGTGAAAGCTTTATCTATTGACTATATAATAAATATTGAATCATTCAAATTTTGAGTTTAGATTCGAAATTAGCACAGCTTAACCATCTAGAAAGGTATAATCTGACTAAGACTTTTTGAAAAGACACATTTGAAACGATTCAAAATATTATCTTAATAACAAATAGTTGTATAGAAGAAAAACTTTATCCCTTGTTATGCCTTCCGAATACATTTGCAATTCTATAACAATTCATAATTTAATAAAAATCCTTATTAAAAACAAAACTAATAATTAAAATAAAATTAAATTAATAGCACTTTGGTATTCAGCTCAAATACGTTTTAAAAGATTTATAAATGAAAACTTAAAATAAAACATAAATATTTAACAAAGAAAACTAAAATTAAAATAAAACAAAAAAAACTTAAAAGCAAATAAAATAAAAATAATTAAAAAAAATAACAAAGCAGCGGTTAAATGAAAAAAAGCCATAAATAAATGTGCGCAAAAAATAAAAAATAAAGCATAATAATTAAAATAAAAACAGCAAAATGAAATAGGAACTATGGTAAGTGTTAGAGACCATGTATTGTAATAAAAAAAAAGGAAAATTAGCTGACTGACGGCATGACTGACTGACTGACTGACGGTATAAAATGGTTATAAAAATGTAAATGTAAATGCTTTGTCAATTTTTTTTAATTCACAAAAATAAATTATTTATTAAACAAACAAAAGTTAGCAACAAACAAATCTTTTTCTTTTATAAAATTTTGAAATTAAGACCAAAAAATTTTTGTTTTAATTTTATAAATTGTTTATGTAGAATAAACAGAATCCTGTTTAGATAGAATGAAGTAGTAGAATGTGGTGTAGTAGACAAACGTTTGTTGTTAATAATTTTCATAAAGTGTTTTATGATGTTTAATATGTGGTTCTGGTAGTTTTGGTGGTTGTAGTTATAATCCATAAACTTTAATTTGTGGTTTAAGATATAAAAAAAATAAAATAAATTTGGAAAAAAATTAATTAATTTAATTTTAATAAAAATTTATATAAAAATTTAAAAAAAATGAAGTTTTGGAAAAAAATTATTACAAAACTCAACTAATAAACTAAACGTAATAGTAATAATATAACAAAGAAAAAAGAACTAAAGAAAAATTAAAAACCCACCACATTATTACGCGTTGTTCTGGGTAAACCACCTGCAGCAGCTCCACTAGCGCCTATAGGTGGCGGTAGTGGTGCCACAGCACCGGGTGGATAATCAAAGAAATATTCTCCTTCATAGGTACGATAAAAATCTTCATAATACGTATCATTGTAGCCAGCACCGCGATAATCCGAATAACCATAAAAGTCATAATCATAATCTATAAAAATATATATTTAAGGTAGAGGGAAGAAAATTGGAGTTTTTTGGTTTTTTTTTTTTTTTTTGTTGGCAAACGTATCGTAAAAAATAAATTTTAAGTGCAAAATAATATAGGCCAAAGAAAAAAAAAATGGGGGAAAAACAAAAAAATAATAACAAATTAATAAGATTTGGTTTGTTAAATAAAATAAAATTAATATTAATTAAAAAAAATATATAAAAAATGTGATAAAAATAGGTAGAAGTCAAATTGCATTTCGGCCTTTCTTATCTATTGTCTAGTCTATTGACTGCTCTAGTGAATAATAGTCGTTTGATTAGTTTGTTTATTCAATGAACTAGTCTATTAAGTAGTCTATGGAAACCAGTCTATTGGATATTCTATAGTTTAGTCAATGGAATATTCTATTGAATAGACTACTGTCTAGTGTATTAACGAGTCTCTAGACTAGTCTATGAACTAGTCCATTGGCTATTATATGTAGGAGTCTGTTAACTAGTTTATAAACTCATCTATGGACTTGTCTTTTGACTCGACTATTGACTAGTCTGTGTACTATTCCACTGATTAGTCTAGTCTATCTACTAGTCTATGGACTAGTTTATAAACTAGTCTACGGATTAGATTATTAACCAATCTAATGAATATTCTATCACTAGCCAGTGTATTGTGTACTGACTAAGTCTTCTGACTAGTCTTTATACTGGACCATGAACTAATCTATTGACTAGTTTTGAGGGCTAGTTTATGCATTAGTTATTAACCAGTCTAATGAATAGTCTATCACTAGCCAATGGACTAATCTATTGACTCGTCTACTGACTAGTTTTTATACTGAACTACGAACTAATTTATAGACTAGGTTTCGGACTAGTCTATGCATTAGTCTATTGACTAGTCTGTGGAGTAGTTTATAAACTAATCTTTTGTTTAGTCCAGTCTATTGAATAGTCTATCTTTAGCCAATGGACTAATGTATTGACTGGTCTACTGACTAGTCGCCAGACAAGTCTATGTACTAATCTATTGACTAGTTTATGCATTAGTCTATTGACTAGCCTGTTGAGTAGTTCATAAATAGATCTTTTGATTAGTATATGGACAGGTCTGCTGACAGGACAGGTCTGAAACTATTCTACGGACTAGGTTATTAACCAGTCTACTGAATAGTCTATCACTAGCCAATGGACTAATCAATTGACTCGACTACTGACTAGTCTCTAGATTGGACTACGAACTAATCTATAGACTAGTTTTCGAACTGGAGTAGTTTATAAACTAATATTTTGTGTAGTCTATGGACTTGTCTTCAGACTCGCCTATTGAACAGTCTATGGAATAGTCTATGAATAGCCAATGGACTAATCTATTGACCTGTCTACTGACTAGTAGCTAGACTAGTCTATGAACTAATTCATTGACTAGTTTTGAGAGTAGTCTATAGAGTAGTCCATTCAGTAGTATATAAACTAAACTTTTGGATAGTCTATGGTCTGCCGACTCTATTGACTATTGACTAGTATCTGCACTATTCTAATGATTAGTCCTTTGTTTAGATATGGTCTGCAGACTCTATTGACTAGTTTCTGCCCTAATCTATTGATTAGTCTAGTCAATCTACTAGTCTGTTAACTGGGCTATGAAGTAGTCTCTGAATTAGTCTATTCATAAACTATGTTATTGAAAAGTCTAACACTGGCCAATGGACCAATCTATTGACTCGTCGACTGCCTAGTCTATGAACTAATCCATTGACTAGTTTTGGTCTATATTTGGACTAGTCTATAGAGTAGTACATTCAATGTGGATTAGTTTATAAGCTAATTTTTCTATTTCTATGGTCTATTGATTAGTCTCTAGTCCTTATTCTAATGATTAGTTCATGGACTAGCTAATCTCGCTAATTTTTGATCAAAAAAGTACTAAAATGTCCTCGGAGAATTGAATATTTATTTGAAATTGTACACTTTTAGCTTTTGGTACTTTTTCGAAAATAGTACTTTTTGAATTTTAGCTGCCAGATGGTGTTTTAAAACCTTAGGTTGAGATATCTCGAAATTTTGATGTGATGTAGAAATTCGGATACCAGAGTCGGATCTAGGTTTAAATGTTTAAATTTATTTCATGGGAAAAACTATGACAAGTTATGATTTATAAGTTTGTCGTCAAATGAACTCGAAATTTTGCCTTAAATTTCAGATGAAGCTATCGGCATTAAAATCAAGGTATAATAGAGTTAATGCCTTAATTTGAAAGTCAATAGATGGGACCTTTGGCCGTTATAACAAATTTCATAAATAAGATTGACTTCGCGCTAGTATATATGAAAAAATAGGGGGTTTTTAAACTTAAGATATCTCGATAAACTGATGAGACATCAGATTCCGATACAGCATAGCTTAATCTGTAGTCTCTGTTGTTGAGGTTAAATGTTTTGAATTTTTGTGTTATGTTCGTTTCAAAAACTGTCAAGTTTTTCTAGTAAAAATTTTCAAAATATTTTTATCACATTTTTTTTTTGGTTTTACTAAAAACTACTTTTTTGGGGTTTTTAAAATAAAAATTAAACTAATTAAATTAAAAAGAAAAAAACAAATTGATACGTTTTGCTACTTAGTATTTTTCTTTACTTTTTAAAAGGATATTACCAAAGGGTTTAAAGGATTTCAAATATTGTCTGGGTTTAAATCATAGAGAAAAAAAACTAACAGAACACGATTTGACCTTATAACGATTTCAAAATTTCATTTCTTTAAACTACAGCCAATCTAACAAAGAAAATAATTGTGAATTTTTTTTATTCCATTTATAAAAATCAAAAATTTAAAAAAATAATAATTTTTCAATAAAGAAAAATTAACAGAAAATAAAAGCCTAAAATTTTAAAATATAGTTTTAAGTGTAAAAAAAGTGTGCTTTTTAGTAGTAAGTAATTTGTTAAGGAATTACTTTTTTACACAAAAAATTTTAATGACAATTTACTTACCGGCAAAACATCAATAAGTATACAGGGTGTTTAACATTTGCTACACAGAGAACAAACAACAACACAAAATTGCAACATTTAATTACAAAAAAATTATAGTATTTTTTTTTTTTGATTTTTTGAAATTTAAAGTTCAACATTTATATAGATTTTTTTAAAAAAAGACTAGTATGGTTTTTTAATGCTCTAGTTTATAAATCTGTTTGTTTTGGTTAAATTTTATAGTTAAATTACAAAATAACAAACATTTATATATGTTTAAAGAAAATTTGAATAAATGGAATAAAAAAAAAACACAAAAATTTCTCATTTGTTTAAACATTTTGGTGAAAATTTTGTAAGTTATTTATGAATGAAATAAGTTAAGGAAATAAAGCATGCAAAAGAAAATGTTAAAAATTTGAAAAAATGAATAAGGACTAAAAGTTAAGTTTAAAGTAGATTACAAGACATTAAATAAAAAATGTTAAATGAAATGAAATTTTAAAAAAATATATAAAAAGGTGCATTTAGTTGGAAATAGTTACAATTAAAACACTGAATATGAATTATAATAAAATATACAGTTTAGAAATGAAGCAGACAACAATTTATTTTTGGAGGGTTAAAGTGTTAAAATTAAACATAAACTAAAAAAATTAAAAAAAAAAACGAAAATTTTGTTAAGTAAAAAAAGCAGGGTTTGTTTAACTAAAATATTTAAATTAACTATTAATAATATAAATAACTAAAAATCTATATATAAAACCTAATTTTTATAAAATTTAAAAAAGAGCCCTGAAACATAACTAATAAAATACGCACAACCTTTTTAATTGTTTTTTTTTTTTTTGAGTTTTTGATTTGTTATAAATAGATTTTGTTTTATAATAATTTGTTTATATGTCAACTGCAAAAAAATTAAAAAATTCTCTTTCTTTTTTGTTTCATTTGTTATAAAAAAACATAAAACACTATAGTTTTGTTTTATATATATAAAACCAAATTAAATTTAAAAAAAGTTATAAATGAAAATTAAAAATTTAAAAGTAAAATAAACTAATTAAATGTTTTTTTTTTAAGACTTATTTATAATAAAATTTAAAACAAAATTATTTAATTAAATAGAAAATGAAATTTAGACTTACCATAATCACGTGGCATTGGTGTACGTAGAGGAATTCTGGGAGCACCTGGTATACGCATGGGTGTACCTAATGGTATCATGCCGGGATGTGTTGGCGATAGATTTCTGTATGGAGACAATGGTTCAAAGCTTTTGTTTTTAAATCAACAATAACAATAACAACAACATGTAGTAGAAAAATTAAAAGTTGGAGTTTTTTTATTTTTTGGAAATTGTTATTTGTTGGGGACCCAGCAATATATTTTTTTATATATATTTATATGTTTATAGTAGTGGTGGAGTAGTAGTAGTAGTTGGTGGTGGTGGTAGTAGATTTATAGTAGTAGTAGTGGTATTAAATTAAACAGTAGTAGTGGTAGTAGTTTGTGTATAAATGTAACCGGGGGCAAACGTAAAAAGTTTTAAAACAAAGTTTTTTTTAGTTTATTTTAAATGGACATAAAAAGAAAAAGTATAAAAAAATTATTAATTAAAATTATGTTTAAAAAAAATGTGCTATTGTTTACAACTTAACGTTTATAAGCTATGTTTCATAAAATTTATAAAAAAAAAATATCTAGTAACTTTTTATTATAATTGAGCAATTCACTATTAGTGTTGTAACGTTGTATCTTTGTATGTCGTGTTATTTTGTTTTAAAAACCAACCTACCACACATATAACGATACGACTTTACAATGCTGATTATGAATTGGACCAAAATAACTTATAAACGTTTGTTAATATAGAAAAAATAATGTAAAATACATATTTAGTGCCGAATCTTTATTATCTTTTAGTTTTCGAAATTTAAAAAAAAGCCTGTTAAAATATTTTTTAAGGTTAGTAAATTTTTAAATTCCTTTTACGTTTTGCCAATAATTAAATAAATATTGTTAAGGAAGAAGGTTAAAGTAATCAATTTTTGTTTTGGTTTATAAGAATTTTTCTTTTTACAATTTTGTTTTAAATTCACTATTAATTAGTAAAAGAAATAAGACACACTTACCCTACTAGACCACCAGGACGTCCTTGCATCATTTGCATCATTCTGCGTTCACGAGCACGTAAAATTTCCTCCTTTTTCTTTTTATCTGAAGGTGGCTTTGCTAAGGAGACCTAAAATATAAAAACAAAAACATTAATACATTAAAATATTCTTAAAAAAAATAAAAATATCAAAATTTAACATTTTCGCGAATATTCCAAGTTTTTTAAACTTTTTGATCTGAGCTATGCTAAATTCAGCTGTGTTTAATCCGAATCTGATAGCAGAATATATGCATCACATATGATTTTGGAGATGTGTATGTAGCTTTTTCGCGAATATTCCAGAAGTTGTTATTGCCAACAAAATTTGAAAAAAAATTTTTGACTTTTTAGTTCAGTTTAAAATATCTCAAAATTCTTCGCAGCTCAATTCTTTCGCGATTAAATACATTTTAAATTTTTGTATATTTTTGTTAATATCGGAAATAGCATTGAATTTTGGTACTACTTTTGCTACTAATTTAAAAAAAGGAATTTTTTTTTTGAAAAAATTACTCGAATAATTAAGATTTTACTGTTTTAACAATTAAACTAAAAACCTGTTTTTAATAAAATAAATGATTTGTTTCTATAAACAACTTTTAAAAACTAATTAAATAAATGTTAAATAAACAAGGAATCATCCATTCAACTTTGTTTTTTTATTTAATTTTAATGTCAATGTTCATAATAAATAAAAAAAATATAACGGAACTAGTTACTCAACAACAAATAATATGAAACCTGATCCTAAAAGACAGACTTTATGACGTTTGTTTGTTTTCTTTTAAAATTAAAACTGGAAATCAATAAAGAAATATGTTCAAGTGAAAGTTAAATAAAATTATTCTCTATGAAATTGAACTAGAATGAAGTAGAACTGAACTAGAACTGAACTAGAACTGAACTAGAACTGAACTAGAACTGAACTAGAACTGAACTAGAACTGAACTAGAACTGAACTAGAACTGAACTAGAACTGGACTAGAACTGAACTAAAACTGAACTAGAACTGATCTAGAACGGAAGTAGAACACACCTAGAACTGACCTAAAACTGAACTAAAACTGAACTAGAACTGAACTAGAGAATTAAAACTGAACTAGAATTAGAACTCAACTAGAACTAAACTAGAACTGATCTAGAACTGAACTAGAATGGAACTAGAACGGAACTAGAACTGAACTAGAACTGAACTAGAACTGAACTAGAACTGAACTAGAACTGAACTAGAACTGAACTAGAACTGAACTAGAACTGAACTAGAACTGAACTAGAACTGAACTAGAACTGAACTAGAACTGAACTAGAACTGAACTAGAACTGAACTAGAACTGAACTAGAACTGAACTAAAACTGAACTAGAACTGAACTAGAACTGAACTAGAACTGAACTAGAACTGAACTGGAACTGAACTAGAACTGAACTAGAACTGAACTAGAACTGAACTAGAACTGAACTTAAGTGAAAGTTAAATAAAATAATTCTGCAAGAATTTAGATTTTCTGTCTTTTTCGTTAGTTTTCTTATTCATACTTACTTCAATATTAGAAGCACCAACTTCTTTGCCATTCAAGGCCCTCATTGCAACAACAGCACTATCACGATCTTCAAAATGCACGAAAGCATAGTCTTTTATTTTCTTAACACGTTCAACTTTGCCATATTGCTCAAATTGTTCCTGAAATTAAAAAAACAAATTGAATTAATAAAATCACTTGAATTTTTTTTCCCAAATTCTATGACCACTCAACCCACCTTTAATTTTTCTTCTGTTACATCCTGTGTTAAATTTCTTACATAAAGAACTTTAACCTTAGACATGGTTTGTTCATCTGGCTCCTCTTGTGGATCAGCCCAGTCGACAATAATATCACATCCCCAAACCTGAAAATGCTCCTTTAATATTAATATTATTCTTATATTCAAACTAAAAATGCCATATGAGTGTAATAACGTTCGTTATATGAAATTAAAGAACACTTACCTTTGTTCTACCAGTGCCAAGTCTTCTTTTAGCCAATGAAGCGGCTTTATGTGATTCGTATTCGAGAAAACAAAAACCACGATTTTTCTTTTTGTCATCTGGTGAACTATAGATTATCACTTCAATAAGGCCAGCTATATAAAAGCGTTTAAATTAAGGAAAATAAAAAATTGGAAAAGAAATTTAATAAAATAATGTTGAAATACTTTAATTTAAATTTTTATAGTTAGAAATTAAAAAAAAATACAACAAAAAAGTTAAAGAAATTTTGGGTTTTAAAATAATTTTGTAATAACAGAAATTTATATATTATTTTAACAACCTTTTAACAAACTAAGTTTTTGTTATAAAAATATAATAAATTTCTGTTGTAATTGTTTTTAAAATTTTTGTTTTTTATTAAAGTTTTCTTATTTTTCTTAAATATTTAATATTTTTGTTTTTATTACCAATGCCAAAAACGCTTAATTATTCTGATTTACTTTTTTAGGGAAACTTTTTATAATTATAGATTTTTGTTTTGTTTTTGTTATATAGAAAGCAACTTAAAATTTATTTTTATTTTTTTAATATTAATAAAAATAATTGTTATATGTAGGGTTTTTGCTTTTTACAGTTTATTTTTTGGTTTTGTTTTTTTTTTTTTAATATAATTTAACACCAAAAACAAAAAAAATATTTAACATTTATTTAACAAAAATATAAAAAATAAAACAAAAATCATAATAATAAAACATTTAGTTAAAGACATAGAGAGAGATAGTTACATAGAAAGTAAAAAAAAAACACTTATTTTTTTATTTGACAGCTTTTTTTTGGTGTAAAAAATGCTTAAAATTATAATAACAAAAAGTTATAATGTATTTATATAATAAACATTTAGTTACATAAAGAAACTTCCTTAAAGAAAACTTTGTACTTGTTTGATATTTATAAGTTTATTTTTTAATTCACCTGCTTGTTAAAAATAGGGGAAGGAATTTATGTGATTTTTGTTGTTGTTTTATTATTTATTAATATTGGAATAAAACACAGTCTCCAGTCATTACCATTTATTTATCATTGTAATAGAGTTTTCTTTCTTTTTTCTTGATAATTGAAAAACTTTAGTTTAATTTCTATGAAGAAGAACAGGAGAGGAATTTAAACAATAATTGTTTTGATATAAATTGTCATGAAATCTCTGGATTAGATCTGAAGTAAAACTTGTAGAACAGAACTTAAACTCGACTAGAACTGAAATAGAACTGAACTAGAATTGAACAAGAACTGAACTAGAACTAAAATTTAACAAGAACTGAACTAGAACCCAACTAGAAATGAAATAGAACTGAACTAGAACTGAACTAGAACTGAACTATAACTGAACTAGAACTGAAATAGAACTGAACTAGAACTGAACTAGAACTGAACTAGAACTGAACTTGAACTGAACTAGAACTGAACTAGAACTGAACTAGAACTGAACTAGAACTGAACTAGAACTGAACTAGAACTGAACTAGAACTGAACTAGAACTGAACTAGAACTGAACTAGAACTGAACTAGAACTGAACTGGAACTGAACTAGAACTGAACTAGAACTGAACTAGAACTGAACTGGAACTGAACTAGAACTGAACTAGAACTGAACTAGAACTGAACTAGAACTGAACTAGAACTGAACTAGAACTGAAATTAGAACTGAACTAGAACTGAACTAGAACTGAACTAGAACTGAACTAGAACTGAACTAGAACTGAACTAGAACTGAACTAGAACTGAACTAGAACTGAACTAGAACTGAACTAGAACTGAACTAGAACTGAACTAGAACTGAACTAGAACTGAACTAGAACTGAACTAGAACTGAACTAGAACTGAACTAGAACTGAACTAGAACTGAACTAGAACTGAACTAGAACTGAACTAGAACTGAACTAGAACTGAACTAGAACTGAACTAGAACTGAACTAGAACTGAACTAGAACTGAACTAGAACTGAACTAGAACTGAACTAGAACTGAACTAGAACTGAACTAGAACTGAACTAGAACTGAACTAGAACTGAACTAGAACTGAACTAGAACTGAACTAGAACTGAACTAGAACTGAACTAGAACTGAACTAGAACTGAACTAGAACTGAACTAGAACTAGAACTGAACTAGAACTGAACTGAACTAGAACTGAACTAGAACTGAACTAGAACTGAACTAGAACTGAACTAGAACTGAACTAGAACTGAACTAGAACTGAACTAGAACTGAACTAGAACTGAACTAGAACTGAACTAGAACTGAACTAGAACTGAACTAGAACTGAACTAGAACTGAACTAGAACTGAACTAGAACTGAACTAGAACTGAACTAGAACTGAACTAGAACTGAACTAGAACTGAACTAGAACTGAACTAGAACTGAACCAGAACTGAACTAGAACTGAACTAGAACTGAACTAGAACTGAACTAGAACTGAACTAGAACTGAACTAGAACTGAACTAAAACTGAACTAGAACTGAACTAGAAACTGAACTAAAACTGAACTAGAACTGAACAAGAACTAAACTAAAGCTAAACTAGAAGTTGCAAAAGTTTTAGAAGATTTTCACATCGAGAACTAATTTTTAATAAAGCAATCCTCAGATTTCATGACAACTTAAACAGTTTGTGATTTTTCGTATTTTTTGTGGACTAATGAAATATTTAATTTTCATTCTTATTATTTTTTTTTTTTTGTCAGGTGAAGATTATATTTAAAATAGTTAGAAGAGAGAATATAACAAATAGAAAGAGAGACAATTATTTAAAATATTATAATTTAAAGGGTACAGAGGTTTGGTTTTTTAGCAAAATTTCTTACCGTTTTTTAAATAATTTTTTTAAAGAATTTTTATTATTTTTTAATTTAGCTGTAGCTGGACAATTGTTATGTTAAAAAAATCACCAGAATAATTAATGTAATGTTTTTTGTAAAAAATACTTAAATTTCATTTATAGCGAATTTGGCATGGTTTTGTTTTTTTTTTTTGGAAAAATGTTATTTTTTTAGTTTAAAAGTTTTTAGAAAAATATATATAAACAAAAAAAGGAACAAAATAAATAAAGAAAAAAATTGTTAAGCTACAGTTGTTATGTTTTTTTTCTTCTTAGTTTAATTATTTTTTCAAAAAACTTTTTTTGTTGTATTTTTTTTTTCTTTTTAATAATAATTTTTTGGTAAATAAGGGGAGGAAAAAATTTTTAAGTTTTACACAAAAAAAATAATAAATTCCAATCACAAAATTTCATCTGCAAATGAGTAAAAAGAGTGAGAGAGTTTTAAGCGATTTTTTTCTTTAAACAAATTTGTTTGTTTTTCGATTATTTTATAAGGGAGGGGATAACTTTGTAATTTTATTTTTAGTTTTAAGTTATTAAAAGAAATAAATATAATTTTCACCTGTAGATGAATTTTTGTAGTTAGAATTTTTTTTGTTTTTTTTTACTAAGCGAAAATTGCAAAAATTAACAAAAATCCAATTTGTTTGTTAAAAAATCAATTAAGAATAAATTTGCTGTAAAAGTATATTCTGCAACTTACGCTTTTGTTGTAATATTTATTAAACAAACCAATTATATTGTTTATTTTGTAATACCAATTGTTTACTAGTTACCAATTACTTAGTGGTGTTAAGGGATTTATATTTTTTTTAATTTTCTTTATATTTATTAAGGGGAGGAGTTTTTTTTCATGTTTTTTTTTTTGAATCCTGTTCTTTTGAAATTTATTGTTTTTTTGTTTAATTATGTTGTTTTTGTGTTTGATCACCACTTACGTGCATGTTTAGCAAATTCCTCAATTAATTCATCATGATCTCTATTCTTAGGTATATTGCCGACAAAAAGCCGGTGATTATTAAATGATATCGTTACACCAATCTTTTTGCCTTTCCGAATTTCATAATCATTCAGCTGGAAATTGTTAAAAAATTGTAGCAAATACACATACACACAGAAAAAAAAGAACAGAATGTGATTTTTTTTTGTTGCTATTGGGGTTTTTGGAAAAATTATATTAGACTTTGTTTTTGTTTAAATAATTTAATAAATAGTTTTAGCTTTTTTCACGTGCCAAATAATAGTTAATATTATTAATACTAATAATAGTAATGATAATTCAGAATAAGTATAAATATGAAAATAAATAATAATAAAAATTTTACTAATATTATGAATTTGTTTCTTTTTTATGATATTTGTTTTTTTTTTAAGAGAAAGTAATTAAAGTATTAAAAATATTCAAAATGGTGTTGTTAATTAATTATTAGTAGAATAATAATAATAAACGAAAAATTTTAGTTTTAAAATTATAAAATTTTTGTAATATGATTTTTTTGGTTTCCAAGTAATATAGAAGTAGTAAGTGGAGAGTTAGAGATAGATAAAGTAAATTATATGAATTTCTACTTAATTTGTTTTATTTTTTTGTAAATTTAAATTAAAATTTATAAAAATAAAATAAAAGGCATATCATGAGTAACATAAGAATTGTTTTATTTTAATTTTTTAAGTATGTTTTAGATTTAACAAATTCCTACTGAATTTTTTTAGTAATTTTAATATTAAATTGCTCATAATGTTTATAAGAAAGTAATAGTAAAAAAATTTTGAAATCTTAAAAAAAGATGAAAAGTTTGTTAAATTTTTGAAAGAATTGGTAATGGTTATTAACGAATATTCTAATAATTTGTATGTGTATCTATTGTATGGATCTTAAGAGTCATTTATTAAGCGATCGTTTAAGATCTTAACAACTTTTTGAGTACTTTTTGAGTCAGTAAATAGACCAATCAATAGATTGGTCAATACAATAATCAATATACTTGTCCATAGACTATTTAATGGGCTAGTAAACAGATTAGACCATTGATTTGTCGATAGACTATTTCATAGAGAAATCGACTAGTCACATACAACTCCATAGACTTACCTATAGAGCTGTCGATAGACTAGTCCGTAGTTTTGTTTAAAAATTATTCCATAGACTAGTTGATAGACTAAGAACTATTCAATAGATTAGTCCATAGATCAGTCGATGAATTAGTCCAAAGACAAAATAGTTCACGAACTAGATTAGTTCATAGACTTGTAGATCGAATATTCTATAGACTAAACAAAGATTAGTCAATAGATTAGTCCATACACTAGTTCATAAACTAGTTGATATATTAGTTCATAGACTAACTGCCTGTTTCACAATATCGAAACAACATTTTCTTTCTTATAAATATATTGGAAACAAAAACAAAATTTTAAATTTATTTGTTGTTTTCAATATATTTGTAAGAAAGAAAATGTTCTTTCGCATTTAGAGAAACCGGCAGTAATAGACTAGTCGATAGATTGGTACATGGACTAGTTTATAGATTAGATCATAGACTTTACGATGGACTTCTTCATATACCAGAGAAAAGATTTGTCTATAGAATAGTCCATAGATAAGTCGATAGATTAGTCCATAGACTTGTCCATATACTGCATAGTGCATAGACTTGTTGATAGATTAGTCCATGGACTAGTCCATTGGCTACACAATGTTCAAAGAAGATTCGATGTTCTAGTCCATAGGTGAGTCGATAGTTTAGTCCATAGATCAGACCATACTCAAGTCCATAGACTACTGTATGGAACAGTACAGTGAATAGAGAATGATTGAAATACTTTCATAACAGAAAATATGCATTAGATCCCGGTATTTTATGAAAAAATTTAGAGTTCAAAACTTTAGAATTTTAAGAAAATCGAAAAGAGTGAAGCAGATCGTATTGTAAAATTTTGCAACTGACTGCTCTCGTTAGAAGTTATAACCGAATTATAAAGATCCATAAAATGTATGATTCCTCAAATAAATAAGACCAGAATTTCGGAATTATCAGCTAAATCGTAAATAATGCAATTAAAACGCACAGGATCGCGTCATTTGCAAAAAGATCTATTGAGATCATTATCCACGTTGAGAATTTCATCGATTGGATAGTGATCTTATCAGATCAGATCTCCACTTTTTATCAAAATTTTCATAGTTCAAATCTTTTAAACGACGAGTCTCGTTTATACTGAATTGTAAAAAAACGGTAATTAAGATGCACAGGATCGCATTGTTTACCGAGAATATTCTTTTATAATAAGCAACTATATCGTAAAATAGTTTGCAAATTAAGTCTCACAATCTGCCATCGTTTGCAAATAAAAGTTTTGAGATCATTATCGAAATTTAGAACATCGCATCAGATAGTGAGTGATCTATACATAAGATCCCGACTATTTATGAAAAATTTTAAAATTCTAAACATTCGAATTATTCGCAGAACGAAGAGAATATAATTCGAAACAAATAGTATTTTAATAAAAGCTGCAATTAAGGCGCATAGGATCGTGACATTACTCGAGAAATATAATAAGATCAGACAGTTTCTCTAAACGACATGTTAAGAATTTTCTTTTGAAATAAAGTACTGCATCGTAAAATAACAATTTTGGGATCATTATCGAAGAAATTGAGAATATCGCATCAGATAGTGAGTGATCTTCAAATCATTAACGAAATTAAGAATATCCCATCAGATAGTGAGTGATCTTATGCAAAAGATCCTGACTTTTTATAAATAATTTCAAAGTTCTAAACATTTGAATTTTTAACACAACGAAGAGAGTCTAGTTCGAAACAATAGTTCTTGATGTTTGCAGAGAAGTATATAGAGATCACGCAGATTCTCTAAAAGACATGTTAAGAATTCGTAAAATAGTTTGCTATTAAGACACACAGGATCGCGTCGTTTGCAAATAAAAGTGCTCATTATAGATATTATGAATATCGTTCCAGATAGTTTCCTTAAATTATAGTTTTTAAAACCTTAATCATTTATGAAGGTTTAAGCAGGGCTTTCTTTTACAAAGTATTTCGGAATATTATAAAGTGTTAAACTGAAACTAAAGCTTTCAGAAAGTTGTTTTATAACCAACACCAATTCTGTTTCAAATTATATTTAAAACGATAACTTTTTCTTAATTTCCAACTTTACATTCTAACCATTACTTCCTTCTAAAACATTTATGATAAAAAGATGATTTTATTCTATACCGAAAACAAAACTTAATTTCCTTTAAACTAAATTATTATTTTGATATTTTATTAAATATTTAATGCAAAAAGTTATTAAAGATATTTGTTTGTTATTTATTAAATAAAGATTATTTTGTTTTCCTGGTTATTTTTGTTAACAACAATCTTTAAATAACGCACAAGTTAATGACTGGAGATTTATTAAAATTTGAAAAAAATAAACATGAAAGTTTAAGTTCTTTTTTTTTTTGTTTAAATGGAATAAATATTGAAAGCTATATATAGTTGTAAGTTAAGGTGATAAGTTTTATAATAGAAAAGCTAAATGATATATAAAGAAAAATAAATTTAAAATGAAAATGTATGTACAAAGACAATTAAATAAAGAAAAATTTCAACTTTTGTTTTTATTTTCAAAAAAAGTGTTTGTAGCCCTATAGTTGGTAAAAAATATATATATAAATATTTTAAAAAAAGGAAACCAATTATTCTGTTAAAAACAACAACAGAAGTAAAAAAACGCATTTGAAAAGATAGTCTCAAAAATGTATGGATTATGGTGCTTTAAACGTGTATGTTTGACACTGGTGTTAAAATGGCAATTGAGAGGATGGATGGTGGTAATTAAAATAAAACCAAAAAGTATTTGAATTAAAAAAAAATAATGGGTGAATAGTAATGGTTTTGCTGGTTATAACAGAAATAAAAAAATTAAATAAAATAAATTTATTTACATAAAAACAAAACTTATAAACTCGAAAAATGTACAAATTGCAAAAAGATTGTGTTGTTGGTTTTGGGAATGTAGTTGCAGCAGTAGGTCGGTCCCTTAACGCCATAACTAATAACCTAATAAACATTTACGCAGATGTTAACCTAAAAAACAGCCGTTTTTCTTTGATACATTAAACAACTTTAAAACAGCCAATTGTTTTAAAAGCCAATTAGTTTATAGTTTAAGGTAAATTCTTATTTAAGCCAATTGGATTTTTGTTGTTTTTTAAAGCCAATTTTAAAGCACATTTTTTCTTGCTTATCCCCTTTTCATTTTGTTAAATAGTTTTATATAAAGTTATGGGTTTACAACCATTATTAAAACTATTTAATAAATTTAAAAAAAATAATAAAATTTAAACAATAGGTGTGTGTGTGTTAAGAATTTTGTTTCATAATTTACCTGTTAATTTACCAAATTCCTCTAAAATCTCCTCTTTGCCTTTCGATTTGGGTATATTGCCTACAAATAGGCGCAGGTTCGGTACACTTATATTTATTTTCAGACACTTGCCAGGTTTTATTTCATGATTATCGAGCTGTAGAAGTAGTGAGTGGGGAAATTTGTATTTTTTTGTTTGTTTTCAATTAAAAGGGATTTGTATAATGGGTTTAAGTAATAAAAAATAATAATATACAAAAAATTATAAAATAATAATTGAAAAAAACCAATTGTATAAAATAATAATAATTTGTTTTTCTTTAAATAAAATAATAAAAAATGAACGATGAGTTTTTTATGTTTTTTTAAGGATTAGAGATGTAGCATTAAATAATAACAATAGGAGAGGATAATGAATACTTTTAAATTGAAACAAATATTAAACAAAAAACAACTACTTTTATAATAAAATTTTTAGTTATTTAATAAATAATTAAGGTAAAATAAAACAAATTATAACAGGTTTTAAGACAAATGGTTTACAGAGTTATTAAAGTCAGAGTTAGCAAGTAAAGAGAGTATTATGGATAGATTGCTTAAGTGTTAAGGGGGAGGATTTTCAACAGAGTTAATGAACATCAGAAGTGTGTTTGTTCAAAAACAACAAATTTTGAATAGTAAATAAGGTATTATGAACCTCTGGAGTAACAAAGTTTATGGAAAAGTTATTTCTTCGAAATAGCATATACATAAGAAACTATAGTTATGAGTCGTCGTCTGGTTTTGAGAACCTATATTTCTAAAATGTAAGTTTTACACAAATGGTCCGTCTGCAATGTGTAAACAAAAGTAGATAGTGTCAATTTGGATGTCATGATCTGATACCTTCATGCTAGTATTGTGAAGTGATTTTTAGAGTAAAAACGGTATTAATCTGAAGTAGAATTTGCTCTCTGATGAGGATCTGGGTATTACTGTTATATCTTTTCACAGACAGATAACAGAAGGGGCTCTTCTACCGATGAGGCTAGAAGAAAATCAGATATCGTAGGAAGGAAATGCTAAGGGCTCCTTCACAAGCCGAACGAAGCAGAAGAAGGCACTGGACGCGACATGGAAATATCCTATTTTCCTGAATAAATTTTCAAAATTTAAATTTGCACAAATGGTTCGTGTGCAACGTAAAAACAAAAGTTTGTAGAGTCAATTTGGATGTGATGATGGGATAAATGAAGTCAGACAGCACTTGTGAGGAGGACCCTCATGTCAGTATTGTTGAACATGAAGGACGGCTACTAAATGGCCTAAATTTGGATGATCTTCTGAAAGTATGCATAAAACCTGAATTACTCTGAAGTAAGTTTTGCTCTCCGACGAGTAGCAGGATATTACTGTTACATCTTCTCACAGACAGATAGCAGAAGGTGCTCTTCTACCGATAAGGCTAGAAGACAATCAAGGGGGACACTTAAGAGTTGACTGGCCAAATCTTATTCGGCAGATATCCCAGGAGGAAACACCAAGGGCTCCTTCATAAGCCAAACGAAGGAAGAAATTGCATGAGACGGAACATTGAAATCTCTTATCTTCCTGAATAAGATGAAAAAACTGTTTATGTCAAGGAATAGGCAACACCCACAAAGTGTAGCTAGAGAAAACCAAGTGTTACACTTGAATGACAAGACTGTCCACAAATTATTCGGCAGTTAGCCGAGGAGAAGATATCAATAGCTTCTTCAAGAGATACTAATAATGCCTGCGAAACGCTGCAGAAGATGGTCCGAATGGAACGTTGAAATCTCTATGTTCTCTGCGTAAAATGACAAAGAAATAGATACCTTCTCCGGAGGCACCGACAAATAGTCGCTAGAGAAAACCAAGGACACTTGAAAGAAGACTGTCCATAACTTGTTCGGCAGTTAGACGTGGGTTCCTTCACGATATGTACTTATAACACCGGCCGAACGAAGGAGGAGAAGACACAGGAAGGAATATTGAAATAACTTGTCCTTCTGAATAAGTTGACAAAAGTGATCAAGGATTAGGCATCTTCGGCTCCGTCAGTACTGTTATAAATATGTCCAACAAACCACCTTACACTCAAAAGTAATGAGGCAACGATTACATCCACCAGTCCTTCAGAATAGATTACGGAAATTGTTTCTCCACTTGCCAAGGCGTACATACATGTCCTCGAAACCAACTGTGTAGGTCAAAATGGCGACAGCGAGCCGGCCAAAGCACGGGTAGTGAAAAAGACTGTTAAACTTCCAGCTGACTAGAGGGTTAATGATCTCCCCCAGTATATAGTCCGAGTATTTAATGGTCTTCACCACACAGAACATAACCGCACTTTAAGGCCCACATCTGTCGAAAGCTAAACAACATTGAAGGGTAAGAAGATGATGCGCGATTTGTTCTTTAATCCAGACTAAAGGCCTGCACAAGACAACCATAAGACAACAATTTGTTAATAAAATGTCCTGTGCTTACAATGGCGCACGCGATATTTATTTAACAAATTGTTGTCTTGTACAGGCCTTTAATTAAGACCTTAATTGTAACTGTCATGTCGATTGTAAATGATTTTTCAGAAAACAGTCCAGTTATTGAGTTTCGAAGTCGTATTCTCTTCTAAATATTTTAGAAATTTAATCCTTAATATTTTGAATAGTTATAAATAAATAAACAAAATAACGAAGGGTACTCAAAATCAAGAAAATAACTTAAAATATAAAAATTTAAATAAATAAACCAACTAAAATATAGGTTAGTGTTTATAAAACGATTACAAAATTTACCCATAAGAAAAATTTTGATTTTTTTTTTAATAAAAAAAAACAGAACATTTCTTACAAAATGTCTTTAAAGCCAAATAGCTGCAATTCCAAAATTGTTGTTTACATATTAATTTATAAAGGAAAAGAAAAATAAACCGGAAAATGTAAAAAGTATTAGTAAAAAAAGAGGAGGAAGTGTTATCATAGTAAGAAAATGGTTTTTAATTATGAAGTTGATTATTCAAGAGGCATGCTCGCAATTTGTAGAAAATAAAACCAGACAATGGATGAAGATGAAAAATAAAATTAAAAACAAGGAATAATAAATCTTTGTTTTAATTTCATTTTTATTTTGTTTGTAAATAGTAAAAGAAATAAACTAAACTAAAAACATGATACTAAGAGTAAAAAAAGGGGAAAACGCTAAAACTAAAAAAATATATGGAAAAATGATGGCAAAGTAATTATGAGTTTGAACAACGTTGATTGTTTTAAAATTCAAAGAAGTTACAAGTTTTCATTTAACGCTTAATTTTTTATGTTGGATGTGTTTTTTTGCAAAGAGGAGAAAGAGAGTAAATATTTAAATATCCTTGGTAGATTTTTCTAGAATAAATATAAAAATAAATTTAGAATTTTGTTAAAATAAAAAACCAAAAGACACTTTTTTGTTTTACTTTTTGTTTTTGGATAATAAATGACCTAAAACGGCTGCCAAACACGTAGTAATGAATTACAGAGTTCTTTTTTGTTGCAAGATTTCTTTTTAGATTTTCGACGTTGTTTTTCAAGGAAGATATAAAATACTTAGGAAAATTGTAAAAGTAATAAATAAATTTACTTACAAACTAATTTTAAAGTTATAAAACAATACAGTAACAAACTACACTTAAAAACTAACAAGAAGTTTTTAATTTTTTTCGTTTAAAACTAAAAAACAGAAAATTTATAAAGGGAAGAAAGGAATAAAATAAAATGCAAGTATTTAAGTAGTAAAAGGGGTTGGTTTTGGGGTAGACTTTTTATTTTTTTAACTTTTGGAAGGCCAGGTATTGTTTTTTTTTTTTTTTTCAAGAGACTTCTTTTCAAACCGCAAAATTTAGTTTAAACCAAAACTTTTTTTAACCTGATAGTTTTTTAAACAGGGATTTTTTCCTTGTAAAAAAAAGCTTTACAATTTCGTTAAATAGTATAATTTGCTACTTTGCAAAAAAAAAAAACTTTTTAAAACTGTTTCTATTTTTTTAAATCCTTTAGGAAAAAAACCAAACTCATGCAAAAAGGCAAAGTCAAGTAATGTACTAAAAATTATATAGTTAAAAACTAAAAAGGTTACAGCAAATATATTACTTTAAATACAGCTTAAGTGATAAAAAAAGTTTGTATAATAAGAACAAACATTAACTAAAAAAAAGTTTAGCAAACAAGCTAGGAAACTAATAATAAAAAAAACTTAAAAAGAGGCAAAAGTCCTTTAACAGTTAAAACGCTATCATTAACCATACAGTTTTATATATTTAACATAATAAAATAGTAAAAGAAAAAACCAATCGTTCGCCTATTTGATAAAAGCCTAAAAAAAAATATTTACTTATTTTTGTTTGTTTTGTTTAAAAAGCCAAAATATTTAAATTTTCATATAGTAACCTAAAATATCAATTAGTTTTTGTTTTAATTTTTTGTACATTATTCATAATATCACAAATTAAAATATAAAATAAAGCAGAAATAAGACAGAGAAAGATTTTGAAAAAAATATATAAAATTAAAAATACCTGTTTGACGGCATTAGAGGCGGCTTCTCTTGTGGTAAAAGTAACAAATGCATAACCACGATTTGTACCAGTCATGGGATCCATCATCAATCGTAAATCCCAAATGGTGCCACAATTTTCAAACAGGGGTATTAGTTCATCCTCAAACATATCTTTGGGTATTTTCCCACAAAATACCTCGCAACCATTACCCGGTACCGGACCATCCCAATTAGGAGGTGGTCCACCATATTTGCGCTGGCCTGTTAAAAAAAATTAATAAAAACATAGGAATCAGTTTTTCAATTCAGAAATCAAGACAAACAAGTTTCAATGCAAAATATATATATGTATATAATTACCCGTGGTCACATCTAAAGTGTAACCGGTACGTTCTAGTATTTTTTTGATTTTTTCCTCATCTGGTCCTTTAACTTGCACTGTGGTTGCTGGTGTTGGTACACCTTGTTGACTGGCTCGACTTTTTTGCCGATAGGTTTTCATAACCCCACATAAATACGCAGATTTATTCGATACATGTTCCAAATTTGATTCCAGGAACTGACTTAATACATTCAAGGCACCATCGACCGGAAACTCTTTAAGCGCATCCAGTGCGCGTTCATCTAATTCTACGTGGGCGAGTTTTCCTGTTTTATATATATCATCTAGTTTACCGGCAACCTGTTCAGGGGAAGAGGAAATTACAAAAACAAATTAGTATTAATTTTGGTTTAAATAAATATAAATAATAGAAAAGAATGGGACACAAACTAGACATAGACTAGGCATAGACCAGATATAAACTAGACATAGACTAGACATAGACTAGACATAGACTAGACATAGACTAGACATAGACTAGACATAGACTAGACATAGACTAGACATAGACTAGACATAGACTAGACATAGACTAGACATAGACTAGACATAGACTAGACATAGACTAGACATAGACTAGACATAGACTAGACATAGACTAGACATAGACTAGACATAGACTAGACATAGACTAGACATAGACTAGACATAGACTAGACATAGACTAGACATAGACTAGACATAGACTAGACATAGACTAGACATAGACTAGACTAGACATAGACTAGACATAGACTAGACATAGACTAGACATAGACTAGACATAGACTAGACATAGACTAGACATAGACTAGACATAGACTAGACATAGACTAGATTTTCTTTTCTTTCTGTTAAAACTTCACTTTCACTTTTGTTTCTAAAACAACATTAACTCACTTTTTATCTAAGCCATATTCCAAAAGTTTTGGATAATCTTCTGTTCTTTCACCATCGCCGCGATCTTCTGATTTTTGATTGATGTCATCTACCAGTTCGCCATTGCCTTCCGCCATTTCTGCAAAAGATAAAAAAATTATAAAATATTTAATTAATTACTAAAAAAACAAATTTATACAAAATAAAACTAATGATCAATTAAACTTATTTAAAACAAACAAAGAAAATGTAGAACCGCAGCACAAGGGTGACTGAACTTTACGTTAAAAAAGCTAAAAGTAAAATACATTTAAAAAAACTTTACGCAAAAATTGCTTATTTCGCTTTGCAAAAAAATTTTGCGAAAAAAACCAAACACATCTTTCACACGCCTTCTCTACGCACTTTTACACATCAATATTATTCAGCAATAAAACAATTTTTTTTTTGTGTTTACCTTGAAAAGTTCAATGAACGCACAATTTTAACAAAAACCTATTACAGCAACATTTTTGCAAATTGTGCGTAATCATAACAAACATTTTCAAATATACAAAGTCTCAACGACTAATATTTGCCCTATTTCTTTGTGTTAAACTAAATTTAGCCAAAGTTTATAAATAAAATGTCTCTTACAATACGATGTAGTAAACATACAATATTTGAGTTTATATTTTCTATGGTGGAAGATTTTAACAAAATGTCTAGCAGTTTTTTTTTTTGAAGAGTTTAATGAACTCTATTGCTCCCATTCATGATACAAACATTTGTATGTACATTCATATTTTAGATGTTGTTGTCGTTGCTTATACATGATCAAACAACTATAAAAGCCAAACAATAGTCATGTGTGAAAAGAGTGTAAAGTGCGTGAGTGCGTATACTTGTTATCTCTATGCCAGGGATGGTAAATTTATTTCTTATATTGTACATATTAAGTAATGTTAACATATTAAAAACTTTTGCTAAGTAGTTCAAAGACAAGTTTATGACAAGGCAGTGTCAATAGACTATCTTATAAGCAAGTACTGAGACTAGTCAGTTGTATAGTCCATAGACCATCCAAAAAATTAGTTCATAGACTAATAGAATAGTCAATAAACAAGTCCAGAGACTTGTAATTACACTAATCATTAGACTAGTCAATATATTAATCAATAATCTAGTGATTAGTCTTGTCAATAGATCAGTTCATACACCTGTATAGACCAGTCCATATAGACCAGTTCTTAGACTATAGACCAGTCCATAGACTAATAAATAGAATAGTCAATTATTTGAATAGCCCATGGGCTAGTCCAAAGAATAATGAAAACTAGTCCATAGAATTGTCCAGTCCATTGACCAGTACTAGTCCAGTCCATAGACTAGTCCAAAGAACAGTTAATAGATTTGTACACACACCAATTCATAGACTAGTCAATAGACCCAGACAATCAATTGACTCTAATCGATAGTATAGTCAATAAACAAGTTTTGGTTTAAAGATTAGTCAATAGACTGGCCTATATACGAGTATATAGACGAGTCCATAGTCTAGTCTATGGACGAGTCCATAGTCTGGTCCATAGACTAGTTCACAGATTAGTCCATAGACTTGTCTACAACCTTGTCAATAGAACTATCCATAGATTAGTCAATCTACAAGTACATACACCTGTTAATTGTCTGGTCTACAGGATCTATAGACTAGTTCATAGATTAGTTAATAGACTAGTCCATAGACTAGTGAATGGACTAGTAGATAAACTAGTCTATAGACTATCCATAGACTAGTCAATATACAAGTACATATACTAGTTAATTGTCTGGTCTATAGGATAGTTCAGCCAAGAGTCTAGTCCATAGACTAGTCCAGACACTAATCAATAGACTAGTCTATAGACCATTTCATAATCTAGTCAATAGACCATAGAATAGTCAATTGACAAGTACTAATTGAAAATTTCAATGTTCCATGCCTGCTCTATGCGTAACATTACTTTGCACACATCAAATATTTACGCTCTTGCTTATAGAGAGTATTAATAAAAAATTGAAACAAAGAGAGTATATTTCATATTTTGGTTTTATAGTTTTAAAATTAGGCCAGCAATTTATAAAATAAAATGTGGTATAAAAAATTTATTTTAATAATAAAAGTTGATAAACAAATGTTTACTTTAATAATAATTTTTTATTTTATTAATAATTATGCGTGTTTTATTACGTATACGTTTGGGTGTGTGTATGGCAATGATGAGTGTGAGAGAACGTATAATTAATGTCAAACATTGATGATGTCTCTATTACTAAGTGGTGACGTTATCAAACAGATGGATCATTTATTTGAAAACTGTCTTATATCGATAAGTAAAAGTTTCTAGAATAAACCTGTTTGAAATGTTAAAATAAGGAACTTCAGATAAAACAACATGTACTTTGAAAACTTTCATGTTAAGAATTTTTAAAATAATTCACTTAAAAAACATCAGTGGTTTAGTTCCATTTCTTACAAAACGAGTGTTTATTTGCAAGTATGTTAAGTCTACATTTTGAAAAAAAACTAAAATTTTAATACAAAACAATGTAATTTCAATTAACATATTAGGTTTTTTCTCCTGTTAATCTTAAAGTTAGTGAAGTTAGTAAATTAATTACCATAAACTTATTTTTTGTCAAACATAAAATTATTGTACAACAATAACATATCTAAACGACTAATACTTTCTATTTCATAATTTAAGAAAAAAAATTTGTTGCTAATATTAATAAATAAAATTTTGCAAATAAAAAATACACACAAAAAACTAACAAAAAATAGGTCACTATAACAAGAAAATAAACGAAATTATGTCAATCATATGGTGGCTGATGTTGTTGTTGGTTAGTGGTGGTTTGTTGTTTGGTGGGAATTTTTGTTTTTTTTTTTTTTTTTTTTTTGTATAACAAAAAACACTAACAATATGTTAATAAATATTTAAAAATAGTTTTACACTCTCTAAAACATTAACTCAAAATCCCACACGTTCTCTCTTTTGCAAATTGTTAGTGTTTTTTTTTATGTAGTCATCATCAAAAATGTTGAATTTGTCATTCTGTTTGTAACACTTGGAAATTATCTCTAGTCAAGACTACAGACTGTTATATAGTCAAGACTATAGACTGATCTATAGTCTAGACTGTAGACTGATTTATAGTCAAGATTATAGAGTGATCTTTAGTCAAAATTATAGAGTGATCTATAGTCAAGACAAGTATTATACAGTCAAGACTGTATAGTGATCTCTAGTCAAGATCATAGAGTGATCTATAGTCAGGACCATAGACTGATCTATAGTCAAGACTATAAAGTTATCTATCTATAGCCAAGACTATAGAGTGATCTAAAGTCAATACCATAGAGTGATCTATAGTCAAGACTATAGAGTGAGCTGTAGTCAAGACTATAGAGTGAGCTATAGTCAATACTTTTGCGTGATCTATAGTCAAGACTATAAAGTGATCTATTGTGAAGACTATAGAGTGATCTAAAGTCAAGACCATAGAGTGATCTATAGTCAAAACTATGGAGTAATCTATAGTCTTGACTATTTTATTCTATAGTCTTCAAGGATCACTCAATAGTCTATAATCAAGACTATAGAGTGAGCTATAGTCAATACTTTTGCGTGATCCATAGTCAAGACTATAGAGTGAGCTATAGTCAATACTTTTGCGAGATCCAGAATGATCTATAGTCAAGACTATAGAGTGATCTATAGTCAAAACTATAGAGTGATCTATAGTCAAGACTATTGAGTGATCTTTGGAAATTATAGAATGATCAATAGTCAAAACTATTGCGTGACCTATAGTTAAGCGTATATAGTGATCTAAAGTCAAGACTATAGAGTTATCTATAATCAAGACTATTGAATGATCTATGATCAAGATTATAGTGTGATCTATAGTCCAGACTGCAGATTGATCTATAATCAGCACTGTAAAGTGATCTATAGTCAAGACTATAGAGTGATCTATAGTCAAGATTATAGAGTGATCTATACACTTTAAATTGACGTTGCTTTAATGGTGGGTACATAAGATTCGGCATAGCCGAATATAACTCTATTTTTATGCTCGTATTTTTCTGTTAAATTTTATTTGACGTGCTCTTTTGTTTTATTCCGTTCATTCTTGTTTGTGAAATACAAAAACTTTTACCTCTATTTCTTATTACTTGTCAAATTTGTATTTCTTTTAGTATTTATTTTTAAAATAAATTAAAAAATAATAAAATAAAATAAACTAGATTGCGTAATTTTGTAGAAACAACAATAAAAAACTAAATTTACATATAGATTTGCAAAAAAAGAAAAGATTAAACAAAAAAATATATAATCTATTATTAATGAATGCTACAAATGTTTATACTTGTTTGATGTATTCTCTGTATTGTTCCTACTCCTCACCCACCTCAACTTATTTTTTCACACTCTCTTCTTATATTCTTTGTTATTGTTGTTGTTTGCTTATATATATATTATATTTTTGTTGTTTTTTAATTTTTATTTGTTTGACATTGAAATTTTTTTGTGGGCTTGGGTGTAGTATTTTAAAAAGAAATTATAGAACTTTTTTTGTGTTTTGTTGTTGTTCATATTATTCATTAAAAGTAAACATTTTTTGTTAGAAAAAAATGTTTGCAAAAAAAAAAAAAAAAAATATCGCAGTGTGTGAAATGCTATAAAAGTTAATTTTAATAAAATTATGTTCTTTTATTTCTATTTTTTAATTAATTTAAAAATTTTTTATTTGTTGGAAAAGTTAATATTTATTATAATTTCTGTAAAATAAACTAAAATCTAAGGAAGAAGGTGTGAGAGAAGGTGCTTTAATATATTTAATATACATATAACCTTCCAAAACTTTTAAGAAAGATTTCAATACTTTAACTAAAAACTACTTTTTAATAACTTCTAATTTTTTTGCAATTGTTAAGCTTATAAATATTACGTATACTTAATGTATTTAACACGCATACGTAATGCATAACCTTTGTTTAAGATGCTAAAGGCGCTAGATCTTATTATACAAATTTTATTGGATATGGAGCAAAACAATCTAAAATATTTAGTTTTCAATATCCTATTTAGAAGTTTAAAATCATTTGTTT